TGATCATCACGTGCAGGCTGTGCATGTCTAGGATGGTGGTCTGATCTGCAGCAGGCAGATCGTGGAACCAACGGCCAAGACGAAGCACCCTTAAGAGCAGCACGCACGCACGCACACACACACACACACACACACACACACACACACACATACACAAAACACGACACAGAAAGGCTTTAGGTATAACATACAGGCTAAAGAATGTGTGTCCAGTTAATAACACCACATATTGTCCACTAATCTCCAACTTCTGTCATCTATCTCATGATCCCATCAGACTGTAGAATAAGAAGGAAGTTATGCGTTTATTCAGTCAAACGAGCGATAGATCAGACAGTTTAGCGACACTTGAACTAAAAACAGGTTCAAACCCCACTGTGGTTAAAAGGTGCCATTACTGCAGCTCTCAGATCTCTAAGTTACTTACATTAAGCAGCTGCTTCTGCACTCACAGTCGGAGAGACGAGACCTGAAAGAGACAAGCTGAAAAACACACAACAGATCCAACAAATACTACAACAACAGACGTCAAAGGCTCACCGTCCAGACAACTTAGCTAGGTTAATGTTCCTGTCTACAGTGAAGTGAAAAGTCTGTGGAACCGTTATGCTAATAAGCTAAAGCTAAGCTATGCTACGTTATGCTAAGCTAAGCTACGTTAGGCTACGCTACAGCTAGCTACAGCTAAATAAAGTTATCTGTTTAGTCTGTAATATTATTTACAGAAATATGTACTTAATTTATTTAAAAATATTAATTAATGTCAGTATTTCAGTTAATAAAGCCCCAGAAGAGTTGCTGAGGTCAGATAAGAGCAGGTCAGTCTCAGTATTGATCGCAGAGCGAGCAGTTTGAGATGCGCTTTGAACAAAGTTGAAACCAACTTTAAGGCTTTTGCTTTGGAACGTTCTCTTGTTTCCATGGCGACTGTAAACATTTCTATATGGCAACTTATTAATTAAAACACAACCACAGAGACGCTCCTGCTGATATCAGAGCATCTTTGACAACCAGCGATTCATTTCTGTTACATAGACAAACAAAATGCAGCTCTACGATACAAACCAGTTAAAGACCGGAAACTAAAAATAAATTATTACCCTGACCTCAAAAAGTAGGTGGTGCACATATGACGACCATTTTAGGTAAACTAATGTGGCATCAATGACAGGGGTACTAAATGGGGATAAGTAACTAAAACGCCTTTAAGGTTTAGAGAAAAGAATCAGCCATTTTCATTTACCACAGGGATGGAAGTCCCAACATTACCGTTTACAGAGGTTTCCCTTTTAAGTGTCTTAAAACGAACAGTTCACAAGGCTGGTACAATAATTCATTTATTAAAGAATTCTTTAAATACATTTAAAATCAGAATCAGTGCTTGATTGGCCAAGTACGTTTGCACATAAAAGGAATTTGTCTTAGGTTACACAGCAGCTCATAGTTACACAGTAAATAACAGTAAAAGCTTCACACTTAAACAGTAACACAGACATCCTTACCTGAGTTCCACCACACCTGAACAGTCCTTACCTAAGATCTACCACACTTAAACAGTAACACAGACATCCTTACCTGAGTTCCACCACACCTGAACAGTCCTTACCTAAGATCTACCACACTTAAACAGTAACACAGACATCCTTACCTGAGTTCCACCACACCTGAACAGTCCTTACCTAAGATCTACCACACTTAAACAGTAACACAGACATCCTTACCTGAGTTCCACCACACCTGAACAGTCCTTACCTAAGATCTACCACACTTCAACAGTAACACAGACATCCTTACCTGAGTTCCACCACACCTGAACAGTCCTTACCTAAGATCTACCACACTTCAACAGTAACACAGACATCTTTACTTGACATCGACCACATCTATTTAGGGAAACTAAAAACCTGTGCTGGACACCGGCCCTCCAGGAGTGAAGTTGTGCACTCCTGTAAAAAACACTTATTTAGTGCATTTCATTACTTTTTGTAATTGCATATATAGAAAGTCCCCAATTTATACTTATCATACTTTTTCTCTGTCATATAAAAATCTACAATAGTTAAAAATACATAAATAACCCTGTTTAAAAAACCCATAGAAACAATTTGGTGTTTCTGTTGGTTCCTGATGTTTTTGCAATGTGCTTTGGCTTTTTTAATGGGTTGATATCACAATGTAAAGGATGAACAATGTTCTTTCAGGTAAAAGGTGACCAATGGCTGTTTGTAAATGTATCTGATGGTTTCCTAATGGGATCTAAAGGTATTCTACAGGAAACCAGTGGTCTCTCTTGGAAACCATTAAGCCAATTCCCATTAGAAAGAAAAGCCATTAGGTTTGAATCCTAATGGTTTGTAATAGTCCTTTTTCAGCAGGGAAGGCTGATCTCCTACTTCATACTAATTCAATTCTTTTTGCACAAATATTTAATTCATTTAATCATATTCAGTGTTTTATTTTGTCCCCAATAATGTTCCACCCTATTCTGTATGTAGTCCTGCTGTAAGAAATGAACTCAGCCCAATCGTGGTTCTGGAAATCTACCACCTTAGACATCTCCCCGGCTCTTACAGTCAGATGTCCCTGAAAGCCTTAATTACCTGGAGCTTGGAGCTAAACTCTGCAGAGAGGCAGATCTCCAGGATCAGGATTGAGTTTTTTCCTTATAATGGGTTTAAACTGGGAAGAAAAAAGCTTAAGAGAAAAATGTTTACTTTCTTTTTGGATCACAGGTTCATCCTTTCAGCAGTAGATAATACTTACGACCAGCAGTAGGTGAGAGAGGTTTGATGTTCCTACGTTGTTGCATTCGTACATTAAGCCACTTTAAGCTTGTTTTCTTATAATGGGTTTAAATGAAAAGGAAAAAGACCTAATGTAGAGATGCCACATTTTTAAAAATGGCAACTAAAAAGCTCAAACTGCCACCTACATTATTAATACTGTCATTTATTGTAATGTTGCTGGGCAGTTCATGAATGCTATAAGAATAGTTCATGTATCAGTAGATTTTGTTATTTGTAGAGACTTCCTATCAATCATGAAAGCTTCAGTAAATGTAATGTGAGTAAAACATAATAATATATATATAACAAAATATCTTTTTTAAATGTTTATTAAATATTTTTAAAGTGCATTTGGGCGCATGTGTGTGTGCGTATGTGTGTGTGTGAGAGAGTGTGTATGAGTGTGTGTGTGTGTGTGTGTGTGTTTTAATTTAGGTTCTTTAAGTTGTTCAAATACTATGTGTGATTCTTAGGTCTTCTGTTTTTGGTGCTTCTTGTCTTCAAGTTTCTTTCATTCCTTTCTCCTATGTAGGCTTTTCTTCATTCTTCCTCTTTCTCAGCTCAAAATCTTGCACAAGTACATTTCTGAAACTGTTTTCCTTTGTTTTCTCTCACTGGTGCTGTTCTTCCTGAAAGAGGAACTCATTTCTTCATTTTGTCTCTTCTTATCAGCTGGGCTTATGCAGACCTTCAATAAATAAGATAAAGTTGCAGGTTATTTATTGTACACATTTGTGTCATTTCATTAAAAATATTTTCTAAATGTTGTCATATTTCTGAGCTACACCTGACTGATTTGCTTTAACTGAAATAATGTTGAGGAGGAAAAGGAACGGAAATCTGAATTAAAATAGAGGTACTAGCTCTATCAATAATACAGTCATATAACATTTACATTTAAAAAAAATGTGGTTAGTTACCAGGCTACCATAAAATTTGTTTTTGAACTTCAAACAATATGTTGACAGAGCATGAAGCAGATTCAGTTAATTTACTATTCAAAGTTCAGTGAACTCAAACTATTAAGGTAGCCTGATAACTAGTTAAGGTTAAAACCCCAATTATGCAGGACTTTAACACAACAAGACCAAGAAGAGACCCTCGAACAGATACTTGAACAGATCTTCCTCAGTTTCTTCAAGATCTGCTGTAGGATTATTATCATTATCATTCAGGCTGTTTCTCTGTGATCAATAATACAGCAGGTTATGCCTTTGCATCCTATCAGCCTCTATCTGGATCATTAAAGATCCCTCACTCTCTCTCACTTTGCTCTCTCAACCGTCTTCTCACCTCCTTCTCCTCTACATTGCTCTCTTCCCTCTCTCACTCCATCAAACTCTTGGCTTTCTTGTTCTCCTCTCGGTGCTCTCTGCTCCTCCCTCATCTGCTCCTTCTTCATCTGTGTCTCTCCAACTCTTCTTTCAGCACTGCAACAAAGCATTACATTACATTAGACTGTCTGAATGTTGAATATCAGGTTAGATTTATTGTCATATGTATTCAGAATACAGAGCATTCTAACAATCGATGTTGAATATCGCAATCATTTACATATTATGCAAATTATCATTCTTTCATTTTCTTTCACAGGATTTTATTTCTATGACTTTATTTAACTCTTCCCTCTGTTCAATCATCCTAATCTATGCTAGTTTAAAAATGACTACAATAGAAAAGACTGCATTTAATTATAGGCTTTACAAAAGTAGCATTTGGAAAGAATCTGACAGATTTTCATGCTGGAAAAATGCAATTTAAATAAAGAGTCTAAAGTAGAAGAAAACCGCTCTCTAATAAAGAGGAAAATTGAAAACCTTGTCCAAAAGACATACAAGGTTGGCAATATTTTGATTTCCGAACAAGAAGCTAGTCCAGCCTGTGATTATACTCTGATTATATTACCATCTACAAAATTCAAGCTGTAGAGTAAGACTCTGTAATGTTCACATGTGGTACTTTTTTGTGACCCAATTTGAATCTCAGTGATATTGTTTATCTCGATAATTCTGGAGGCGACCATCATCATTTGTTTAACTGTTAGACGAACGTCGAAGTGAAGCCTGGAGCCGTATTTGTGAAAACAGTACTTATCTATATACTACCTGAAAAGTTTTTGTAGTAACATTTGTTACACCTGTTACTTGTATTTTGTAACAAGCGCTACATTTATGACAAATTCGTTTTAGGTTACCTCATACATAGACTCTCCAGCAGGGGAACCCTGAAGATCTCTTCTACAAAGAGAACCTTGCTTCCAGATCATAAAAACAGGAGCAGATCCTTGAAAAGATCTCTTCCCAGCAAGAGCAGATCCTTGAAGACATCTCTTCACAGCAAGAACGGATCCCTGAAAACATCTCTTCAGTGCACGAGCAGATCCTTGAAGACAACTCTTCAGAGCAAGAGCAGATCCTTGAAAACACCTCTGAAGAGCGGATCCCTGAAAACATCTCTTCAGAGCAACAGTGGATCCCTGAAAACATTGCTTCAGAGCAAGAGTGGATCCTTGAAAACATCTCTTCAGAGCAAGAGCGGATCCTTGAAAACATCTCTGAAGAGCAAGAGCGGATCCTTGAAAACATCTCTGAAGAGCAAGAGCAGAGCCTTGAAAATATCTCTGAGGAGCAGATCCTTGAAAATATCTCTGAGGAGCAGATCCTTGAAAATATCTCTGAAGAGCAAGAGCGGATCCTTGAAAACATCTCTGAAGAGCAAGAACAGAGCCTTGAAAATATCTCTGAGGAGCAGATCCTTGAAAATATCTCTGAGGAGCAAGAGCGGATCCTTGAAGACATCTCTTCAGAGCAAGAGCAGATCCTTGAAAATATCTCTGAGGAGCAGATCCTTGAAAATATCTCTGAGGAGCAGATCCTTGACCATATCCTTGAACAGATCTCTGAAGAATCAGCAAAGATCCTTGAACAGATCTCTGAAAAGCCAGGACAGATCCTTGAACAGATCCCAGAACAGACCTTCCTGAGTCTCTTGGTGATCCGCTGTAGGATATTATCATTCAGGCTATATCGTTGCATCCTTTCAGTTTCTATCTGCCTCATTATTGATTCCCTCTCTTCATCCATCAATCTCCGGGCTTTCTCCATCTCCACTCTCCTCTGCTTCTTTCTCCTCTTTTTCTCTTCTCTCTCTCTCTCTTCCTGTCTTCTGCCCACTTCTCTCTCTATCTCTGCTCTGACTTGCTCCATGATCTTCTTTTTCAGCTTTGCAGCCTTCCTCTCCTCTCTCTTTCTCTCCTCTCTCACCTCTTTCTCTTTCTGCCAGAGTATCTCTTCTCTCACTAGGGCCAGAATATCATCTTTCGTCATTGTATCCTGTTTTCTTTCATTCTCCTCTCTCTCAGCCTTCTTCCTCTGCTTCCTTATCTCTTTCTCAGACACCTTTTTATTTCTTTTAATGGTGTTCTGCGCCTCCTCAATCTTTCTTTTCTCTTCCTCAATATTCCTCCACTCCTGATCTACCACCATCCTTCTCACGTTCTCCTGGCTGTCCATTTTCCCTTTCAGCCTTTTGAGTTGTTTTTCAGCCAGTCTCTCTCTGTAGGCCTGAATCAATACATTTTTCTCTTTTTCTTTCTCAAATTCCTCTCTTTGTGCTTCAATTTCTGCTTTCTGCATCCCGATGTTCTGCCATGCCTTCTCTATCTTTCTTGTGGTCTTGTTGAAGATCGTTCTTTCCTCCTCAAGCAGATGATCACTTACTTCCACTTTGATCTCCAGTTCTGCAATAAAGCATTACATTAGTCAGTCTGAATGTATGGAATGATATTCTCTATCCATCAGAGTCGTCTAAGAATGAGTGCAGATTTGAACGACGAATGAACTACATCGTGTCTGGTACATGAAACAGTCATACAACGTCACAACAAGCAGTGATTTCAGCACAAATGATGAATCAGCTTTAGTGTGTGGAAAGGAAACAATCACCCGTGACTGTGTAGTGTGATTATTTTCATAAAACACTGGCTGCTTTGGCTCATTACTGCAGAATATGAGAGGCTTCTACTGCACTAGGTAAGACATAAACCATGTTTTGTAGTTTGAGTGGTAGTTATTTACTGTATCAGCAGCACAAAGCAAAAGCACAACTCAATATGTCTTTAAACATTAATGTTAATAATCACAGCATTCGTTTATATGAGAGTGTAAAAATACATCCACTTCTATACAATAATTTGCATAAGTACAAATTAGTACTGTCACTGTTCATTTCTATTTATATTGATTCTCAGTGGTATTGCTGATGAAGCTGATAACAGATTTGATTACTTAACCAACAGTCAAGTATTTTGATGTTAAAATGTAGTGTTCAAATCTACATTCACTCTTACTAGACATGAGTTTAATCGTTCAGCTAAATTAACTTGACCAGTAAAAAAAACTGTTGGTGAAATTTGTGTCCGTTTGATGAATAAGCACCATTAAACCTAAACGTTACTGAAAATATTCAACATGGAAATGTATAATACATTAATATTACTGAAAACAAGCCTCCTGAAGATCATTTAAATTTAGACCTACTGTTCTATTCTATTGCCAATTATTTCATTATATTACTGCTATATTATTATTATATTTTATTGTATTGTTTTTCCTAAATTATAACTAATATCAATTAACAACCAACCAGCTGAAGCTACATTCTTTCTTTCGTCATTAGCCACCATCTTTTTCCTCACTGTACGTTAACAGTAAATCATTTGAGGGGGTTCTCACCATTCACACGTTCACTAAACGTTCCTTTTTCCTCCTCCATTCTTTTCTTTTCTGTTTTTCTCTCCTTTTTTACACAAAGCGCCGCACTGCTGCTTCTCAACGTCCACACCAAACCTAAATGACGAACAGCGACGACGGCACTGTGAGGTATTTGATTACGTCATAATGACGATGGCGTCAATGGCTCATAATAATAAGAGAAATATATTCACTAAATATCAGGAGCCGTATGGCATATTTGAAATGTCCCTGTATGGATTTATTCAAAAATACAAATTCATTATTATTACTATTACTGTGCTTACTCACATTTTTTAATTATCACGATTTTTATTAAAGTATTATTTTATTATTTATCTAGTTATTAGTTTTACTTTCTGCCGCTACAGGAACTCTTTTCTCCATTGTAGTGATGGACAGTGTAACAGGTGCACTAATATACATTTAAAAACTTCTCTAAGCGGTAGTCTGAAGGTTGTGGTATGAGGACTTTTATTGTGTTGATGAACTTTTTGTTCTTAGACTCGCGGTTTAGTCCTGCAGTGTAAACAGCTCTCCATGCACAGAGCAGAGAAGCAGCGGATTCACAACACAAACACACAGCGCATCGCTACTTTGTGGTCCCTGGAAAAATAAAATCACTGTTAAGATGATAAAATAAAGATCTTCATGGAAGATTTATTCAAAGAAACACGTCCATGAGAGTCTGACAGTGTTTTCACATATAGTTCATTTTAATAGAACCGAACCGAGTTCTGTTAAAGTGAACCTGGAAGGGAACCAACTGCAAATGACCTCAGTTCTTTTTGTGTTCGCAATGTAAGTGAACTATAAAGAGGTCTTCTTTCTGGTCCTTTGAGATCTCAGACCACTTCTTGTTCAGACCACAACTCCATTAGAACTCGGACCCCTTTCACAGCACTGTATGTGCGCGCAGTGTTCGCAAAATGGGCAGCGTTCTCTGGTAAATCCGACCTATCAGGTGACAAGAAGAACCGCCAGACCCGCCTGCTGCTTTCCTATTGGCCGCGCTGAAACGATTGGCCGAAGTCCATCGCGCAGAATCGGAAAAACGGCCCTGCGAGTCTGCCGCGGTGGGCTGTGCTCCTCACTGAAGCGCCACCCGGCGAGTTTTCATTCATTCAGCGTTCAAAGTGAAAGCAGCTGAAAACTGCGGTGCGTGCCCAGCTCGAGCCTTTAACGCGGTAAAATCACGCGAGCTCTCGCATCTGATCGCTTTAATAAGTCAGCGCTGCTGTCTGTCTCAGATCACGGACAGACTTTATCCTGAGTAGAACCGTATAAATGATCCTTGGTCTGTTTACCTGCTGAAGTGCTGAAGACTGTGGCTGTGTGTATTGTGAGCCTCGAGCTCTTCAGCATAAAGCAAAGCTAAAGTGGACTGGGGCCGTTTTGTTTTCACAATGCACAAATTAATCGAACCACAAAACGAACTACAAACGTTTTTGTTCGTTTTTGGGGCCGTTTAGGGGGGTCTGAGTTCGTGTTCACACATGCAAAAGAAACCATGACTCAGCGGTCTGAGTCCACTTCAGACGCTGAAACGGCCCAAGTGTGAAAACGCCCTGAAAGTACATAACACACCGTTAGCTCCAGACTCTCGCTCTGCCTGCAAAACTCGGCAAAGAGCGTCACCTTGCGGCGCCGAGCCGAAACGGGCACCTACATTGATAATAGTGTCATTTTTAAACATCTTTTGAGTAGGCCTACTGTGTTTTTTGAATTAAAGGCTATTTATTCCCCGAATATATTTAAATTTATTTATATCCTCTCCATGAAGTACACAGTAACCACCATTAAACATAATTTCTATCCATTATATGATGAGGTCGCTATTAACAAATGTGTTAAATGAATTATTAATTCTGTAGGTTGAGCAGAG